TTCTTCATTGTTCTCAGCTGTAAGCATGATTAGTTTTCTTTTTCCTATATTTGTCTTCATTGTTTTTAAACTTTTGTTCTTCTCTATGATTTTCTTAATGCGGTCTTCTTGGTATTACTTTAATCTTCCTTTATCTGTTTTCTTAAGGTTTTGTTCAGTTTGGTATAATCCACTGTATTTCTTTTGTTATCATTCAGTAGTTGTCGTCGTTTTTTTAGCATATCTTGTGATTCAGCGCTAATTTTTTGTTGTTTTCGCTTTTGTTTATTAGCAATCTTCAGGCCTGCTTCTAGTAGTTCTGTTGTTATTGTATCGTTTAATTCGTCTAGTTGCAGACCCTTTAGCCGTGATATGTCACTTCTTTTTAGCTGGTTTATGTATTGTTCTTTGCGTTCTTTAAAAAGTTCTGTATCTATCTCTTTTTTAGATGGTTTAAATTTTTGTCTGTCTGTTGTGAAGTTAATTTTGATTTTGGCTCTAACAATTCTGTGATCACTTCCTACGGAAATCATGTTTATGACCGTAACGTCTTGTACTATGCTCTTTTCTTTGGATAGTATGTAATCAATCTCGTTTTTTGTTAAACCATTGGGCGCGAGCCACGTCCATTTTCTCTGTGGTTTTTTATTGAAAAAGGTATTCATCGCATATAGACCGTTCGTTTTGATATAGTTCATTAATGTTTCTCCTCTTTAATTTCGTGTTCCATATCCAAAGTTGCCGATTTTATTTTCTGATTCTTCTAGTTTTCTCCCTAATTTGGCATTGAAGTCGCCTATAATGATTGTGTAGGTGCTTTTGTATTTGTTCACTGTTTGTGTCAATGATTCGTAGAATATATCCACTTCTTCATCCGTATGTGATGATGTAGGGGCGTAAATTTGTATGATCTTTAAACTTATATTTTTATTTATGTCCATTATTAGAGTCGCAATCCTTTCTGAAATTCCAATATATTGTCTAATCTTATGAACATGCTGATTAGAAATAAGAAAACCGACACCAGCTAATGATTCTTCTTCAGTTCCTTTATAGTATAGTACATTCCCGGATTCCAACTTCATACAGGCTTCCCCTTTTCTTTTTATCTCACTTAATCCTAATATATCCCATTTCATCTTTTTTACTTCTTCTTCCAGTTCGGCTAGCTTTTCGTCTCTCATCAGTGATCTGACATTATAAGTCGCAATACCCAGTTTCGTTGCTTGTTTTCGTTTTTTCTGGCAATCTTCAAAAACCCAGGGATTTTTAGGACCCTCTGCTCTTTCCTCGATCCTACCATTGCCTTGGAAGGTGACTCCGGAGCTGCTGGGGACTGAGGGCCAATTCTTACGTGTATCTGTCATAAGAGGGGGGGTAGATTGGCCGCGAACTCACCACGCTGGCCAGACGGGTTGGTAAGTGTATTTCAGCCGCCCACTCTGGGAACAGACGCTGTTTGCAGCCGCCCACTCTGGGTCAGACGCTGCTGTGGTCGCAGTATCACAGCCGCTTAACTCATAATGTGAGTAACGCCTGTGAGTATCTGGAATTAAGCCTACAAAATTTTTACTTCCCATAGCCTTAATCCAGTAATTACATTACTGCTGCCTAATGTCATATCCTCAGTTGATCCGCGGGTACTTATTTGGCAATGCCTTATTCGTACCTGTCCTGCATATCTGCAGGAACTTTCCCTATCAGCCATATGGGACGTGCCGTGTCGAGGTTGAGAACATCCCCCGCCCAGTCTGTCTTCCGTGAAGTACAGAAAAACCCCTACTCAGTTCAGAGCTCCTCCTCCACGAAAGCTATGACTGACACGAAGATATTCTAGAAGATATACTTAGAAAAATGAGCTGGCGTAACAAAGGCCTGTTAATTATTATATACTTCTCTCATTTGCATCTTGCTGACAACATCGTTTTGCTTGCTAATACTTCTGCAGAACTACAAGAATTTATAATCAATATATTTAACCGAAACTGTAATATTTAAATTTAGAATGCTACTCCACCTATAGAAAAGAGTAGTTGATCAGTGTATAATACTAAACGTACTTATACTAATGACATACGGCAGCAAAACTTGTACACTAAAGTACTCAAGGGTAAATGGAGCGACGTGTGTTAAAAATAACACAGAGAGATCACAAAAGAATATACTAGATCAGGCGAAAAACCCACATCACTAATGTAATCAACAGAATTAAATCTAATTATGTTGCTTTCATAAAGTCCTGGTAAACACACCTGTCTCAGGAATAGCAACTAGTCGTGCGATCATATGTCGCCATGTTACCAAATCTAGCAGTAACTTTAACACACAATAATTAATAACACATAATGTAAACTAAATTTAAACAAACAGTTTTTAACGGGTTTCTACCCACATAGTTAGTAGCTACATTCATGTTATCTAGACACTGATGATGGAATATAAATTCCGAAAACGTTTTGTGATATAGCTTGATTGGGTTTTTAAAGTATATACCTTTTATAAAGGTTTTTAAGAATTTTTTTTGATATATGTTATACAGCCAATAACATGAACTTAGATTCCTTGAGAATTAAATCTGTTAAATGGCAGTGTACATGGCAAATTACATTAAAATACTCGTGTTCAAGAAACATCAAGAGACCAAGACGACGTTCAAACTTAAGATGGGACTACGATATAAAGCAACATACAGGTAGAACATGGTACACAGAAGAGAATATTGGATAATAGCAGGAAGAAATGAAGAATGACAATGTAAGATAGGCTGCACCATAATCTGTAGCAGATGCTGAGTATGATAATCATTATATAAGTAGACTTTGTAATTTTTACATTTACGAAAAAGATACTGAAAAATAATTTAAGTTTTCCAATATACTACTTATATCTAAATGTAAAACGTTCTAAACCTCTGCCAATGTCAAATTTTCAGAGTGTAAAATTAATCAAAATAAGATGACTTAATGATATTGACTGATATTATGTAGATTTATTATCAGTAAAGTATCAAATTTTCTGTCTTATACAAAAGAACTTTTTTTAAATATCTTAAATGATCATTATGTTATAATAAGTACTTCACCTTATCGTCCATGGAAATCAAAGTTAACAACTATAGAAAGGTAGTGGGGAGTGTTAACAATAACAAAAAACTTAATTAGTCAAGTGGTCCTTTTTGTTGAGTGGTTGACTTCTTATTGTATATAAAGCTAAACTGACGATGCACATTATTGCAAAATACAATTCTCAAACATGAAGACAACATTGGTTTTGACTCTCTTGTTCTGCGTCGGTAAGAAATAAATGTTTGTTACAGTTATTCAGTATAACCAGTTTATTATTCATAACTGATAATGTTTAAATATTATATACTACTTATTATTTATTTTTATTTGTGTACTTTTGACTAAATGTTTCTTAATTCCGCCGATTAAAGCCTTTTTAGGGTATAAGTTCAACAAATACATTTTTTTCTATTTGCTAATATTTTCTTATTATTTGTTTGATGTAAATATATGGTCATGGGTCCTTTTCTAAATCTGCTTTGTAATTACTCAATTATGATATCAAATGATAAAAACGTTACCAATGTAAGTCCATAATACTAGTGTGTAGATGATAAGTCGATCCCCACAATATTAGGTAAGTTTTTTATTGGAGTAGAATATCTACGCTACCGGATTCGGTAGCTTACAATATATGAACCATTATAAGGCCACAGTACATAGGTCTGGGTTTTAACAAAAACTAAAAGCTAAAAATCAACAACATGAAACAAATAATGAACACCTAATACAAATAATTAAAATCAAAATAGAAACAAGCAACTAAACAACTTCAACAGGTTGTTTTCTTCTTGATAGCAGTTTATAGTACCTCTTAAAAATATTCCCTCTTTCTATTAATTATTTTGTTTTCTTTTGCAACAATTTCGTTTTATTCTTCGTTTTTGTGCATAATTTTTCTGATTTTTTTATTGAATTTAGAACTCCTTCAAACAGTTTTTAATTATTGTCTTTACTATTTGTTTTCTTTTTTTTTCCAAAATTTGTAATTTTCTCCCTTTTTACTTTTGCAAAAAATTCTTTTACTGATCTTCAGCATTTTTTAATTTTTTCATAGTTTTCTGCTGTTTTATCTTGTAAGTATATTTTTTAAGCATTTCGCTGGTTTTTAAACATTATTTAAAAAACTTATAATATATCTTTAAATATTACAAAACACAACACCAAATTGATTGTAATTTTGTTTATTTGTTTTTATCTGCGTATACAGATTGAACGAATTTAAAACGGATCATACAATTTAGTATATGTCTGTTTGAACTGCATTTGAAATAGTGGACCAATATAAAACTTGGACAAAAATAAATCCATACCTGGCATTGACATTGTATAAAATATCGTTCAACTACCTGTCTCGCAACAATGTTGTTTGCTTAACAATGTTGCCAATCGCCCTGTAATAATCCGATTTGCGGATCTTTTTGAGAGTTATATTTTCTTCGTATCTTTAAATAAATCGGATATTTGCCTATATTTTGCATTGTATTTACCAATCTACTATAACAGACTAATAACAAAAATAAACTTAATGGTTTGTAGTTATTTCATTTCGTTCCTGTAAATATTTTATGGTTAACAACTTATTTGAGAAACATCTAGAGGGATGATTGTGGCAACACCGCTCAAAATATTTATCTATGGGAAGCGATAAGTGGTTTGACAGCATAATAAAATCTTATATTTATGTGTAGCTTTAAATTTTTATACGTGATGGGAGTGATTCTTGAATGATTTCAAAATCCAGCAGCCCGCTGAAGTATTGGATTTTTATAACATATATACCTTTTGTTGGCCAACCACCTAGAACGGAATTGAGCCGCAATCCATAATGTTTCGTATGTTCCGAAGTTGTTTCGTTTAATTTGTATGCCTTCCGATTAATGGATCCATTTGTAGCGTACCGCATTTTATTAAATTTAAAAATATAAAAATTCAAAAGCCATTGTTTACTTTTAGGTCTGACCGTATTCGCCAAAAGAACCACTGAATCTGAGCCTACCGATGAGCCTGAGCCTGAGTAAGTAAAAATCGTACAAATAAAAGTCAAGTGGCCAATAAAATATTGGCCTGTTTTATCAAAAATAAATTTTGTTATTACAATTTTTTAGCCTTAATGATATATGCTCAAAAATTTAGTCCGCCTGATTGAAAATGTACATTTTAATACTATACGAGAAACTCTAAAAAATTAGACCGTATTAAAAATGAGACTGGAAAAAATGAAAAAAAAAATGTTATTTGGGGGATGCTAAATTGATTTCGTTCGAAACAGATCTTATTGCATAGCAGCTTGAGGCTAGTTTCTTACTTAACAAATCGATATAAAGGGTTCATTTAAAGTTAATGTCTATAAAAATATTACGAAATCTTATACTGTTATTAAGAAGCAAGGGTTAAAGAGATGTTTCTTAGGATAATGCTTCTGCTTTATCTATGTTAAAAGATAGTAAATTAGAGTCGGATCAGGTTCTTATTTTAAGTAAATCATAGTTGCATGAAGAGTTGCAATGTTAGAAATTCTCCAGATGATACTGGTATTATCAGTAAAAAGAAAAATTTTTCCGTCAATTAACATCAATGGTTTTGTGACTAGAGTGCGTATTATTTGCTCTAACTGGATGTTTCCTATTTTTCAAGTAGAGTTAAAATCAATTTAAAGAAATACTTCGAATTCCGTAGAAATTTAGTTTTTTTTATTAAAATGTCGTGATTTATACAATCAAAATCTTTGACATAGTCACAAAAAAGCAATGACAGTGTAAAGATTATTGTTCATTGTTTGATCTCAGACCTCCGGTAGTACAAAAAACATAATATCCCTGGTACATTCATTAGATAAATGGCAGAACTGCCTTTGTAATAAAATGTTGTTTTCAACGAGAAACGATAAGTTGAAATAATATAAAAAGTCAGATTTTTCTAAGTCTTTTAATAATTTTGGATAGTACCGGTAGTGAATCAATAGGTCTGTAGTTGATGTATTGATTTTCATCACCTTTATAAAGATAAATAATAATGACTGTTTTTCGGCACACTGAAAATACACCTTTCTCAAAAAAATCTTTAATTATTGAAACCAGGACTTCCTCTTATTTTTTTTAGAGATTTAGGAAAATTTTCATGGATAATATATCAGTAATAATCAGAAAAATCTGCTCTTGATACTAGTTCAGAATTATCAACTGGTCTTAAAAACCAATTCAAGCACTTTTTTGAATTCTGGAAATAAAAGGTATCATCCTTGTTGTGGCAAAATTGTAGACGTTATATTTTTACGCACATTAAAAAAGTATTCACTTAGTTTTTTAGGGTTTGGAAAAAAATGTTTGATCCAGTTTATAATAAACAATCTTCGAAATAAAACTATTTCGAAGATTGTTTATTATAAACTGAGTTTCTTTTGCAACATTTTTAGACCTTAATAATATTAACCTTAACAAACTTAACATTTTAAATAATAAAGTCTATAAAACTAAGTTAAATCAATTATTAGAAAAAGTCGTTTCTTTCTACAGATTTGATTGCGACAACTGCATATTATTTACCACTGTTATAAAGGATTTAGTCGAAGACGGGGAAACCTTGGTAAGTTTTATAAGTAACAATATAGTCATCAAATGTGTGTCCTTAACTAAAAATTTTGTTTTACATACAATTTGTATGATTGGCATTAGAATAATCGATTTTATTCAGTATTTTTATGCATACTTTTCACATCTCTTTATAGATGTTTTTTATTTCACGTTTTTATTACTTTTTAATCATTCATCAATATCCAATTCATATTACTCCTAATGTTAACTTTTAATTTTTAAATGGTCTAAATTTATAAAGTTAAACTTTAAACTAAAATTACCGTTTTTCTGTTATTATAGGACGAAGTTGAAAGAGACGCTGACAGATTATGCGGTGTTTTACCAGGTGACTTGAGAGAATATTGTGAAGATAATTTGCTCCCAAAAGTTGACAGAATCTATGGCCAGCTACAGGAACATACTCCCGAGGAAGTATGCAAAAATTTGGACTTGTGTTAGATATTTATTAAGCATTTTTTAAAGATATGTAAACTTAAAAACGTCTAAAATAAATAAAAAAAAAATACAATAATTTTGTGCCTCATTAATATTATATATTTTTTGTTAGTATTTCATGCTTTGTTGTACAAAATATTTATCAGAATTTGAGTCACTACTTAGGCCGATACCTATACGTACAAGATTTAACTCCTTCAGAAACTAAATGTATATAAGTAAGCATAGAACAAAAGTCAGAAACTGACTGTAATTTTTAAGTCTTCGTCTTCATTAAAATTATCTTCAAGAATGAGGTAAACTTTTGGATGAGTGGAATTGTCGGCAAATAATATTGTACAATTTACAACCATACCTATTCGAGGGCAGATATAAAAACGTCAAATGCATTCAAAAAAATGTCTTGTTAAATGGCACTTATTTAGCGTGCTAATTAAATAGTAATTATTAATGAAAATTTAAAAGTAATTAAGAAAATAACTAAGTAAAAGTGATTTGTGATTTGTATACTGAATGTTGGAATCGTAAAAAGATAATATCTCCATTTTTCATCTATTTGGATTAAGATATTTAAGTACAACTAGTTATAAGTATTATCCAATTTTCATGAACTGGTCTCACAGCGAAAGCTGTAAACCAACATCGGTTTTAATCGCATTTTAAATCCATTTAAAAAATGTCATCTTCCTGTCAGCTAACACAAAAAGCATCATACTCAAATGCAGTTAAAAACTACGTAGTATAATAATCCCAAACCAAAATTAAGCTATTCTATTTAACACTCTAAAGAATTATACCATTAGTGACTATCTTAAAGGACCGAGTAAGCATATAGGACAAAAAAAAATTTACAAGCCGTATATGAAACGGTAGATTATGCATATATTTATCCTCTAAAAATCTAGTAGATAAATTCATAGCAAAAACAAAGAAGATAATACTAAATGAAACTATACTAGGAACGAGAAGATTAATAACTCCATCAGTCCGCTTAATTATGTTCAATGCAAGACCAAGCATACTTTTTAACTTAATAATAAAAAATTAATAACACTAGTTTTAAATACTCTCTCAGACATATCATACCTACTGATAGGAGCAACCAATCCTGAATTTAGTCATATTCTAAGCATAGGAAGACTAATTTTGGTTTTTTTCTTTTCCAGACAAGCTAGTTTTCTATTTAATATTTCACCTTCTACCCAATCTCACAATGATACTGCAATGCAAAGACAAGTGAGACAAAATTCATCAATAAGTTATACTCAACACGATAATCCGACCACCATTGTGAAGGCTTCTCGATCTTTTGCAATATGGAATAAGTGTACTTAATTTGGTATCCGAGTCCATTCACAACTGTTTTTTAACCATGAAACTTGTTGTCTTCCTACACCTCTACTACCCTCTATTTTGCCTTACAAGCAGTAACATTCCCAAATTTATTAATAAACCGTACCCATTAATGCTCACTACAAAACATCTATAAATTTGACCACTTCTTTAGTTCACAGTACGATCGCAACACCTACATCGTCTGAGCCATCCTCTAGTAATATCAGTTGGTTGCCAAATGCACCTTTTTCAACTTGGCACTTGAGAAAGTGGTTAAAAAGAAGAGAGTGTTTTTAAATGAAGGTTAGAAAAACAAGAAAAAAACCTCTGATTTGTGCAGACGTATATAGCGGAGATAATGAATCAGTTTTTATTGGTGAATTATGTGTCAATTAAAAATAATGTTAGGGGTAATATTGATAAAAGTTATTTCCTGCTAATCATTATTTTTATTTATGCTTTTTTTATTCTACTCTTTAAGTACAAAGTACTTCTTTAAGTACAAATATCAACTATCTTGATTTTAGTATTTATTATTTTTTAGAATATTTGATTATGGACTTTCTGCAGTTGGTTTTCATTTTCAAAAAAAATAATCAAAGAAAAACAAGAAATGCAAAGTGTAGTGATGCACATCTATTATCAGTGACGTAAATATATTATTCATTAATACAATGAAAAAAATCTTAAAAATACGATGAATAAATACAAATTTAAATACAATACAAAAAAATCCTAATGAGTTTGTTGACATATTATACTAAAAGTTATTTCCGAATTATAATACCGCTTTTAAAATTTTATTGACACAACAATTTAAAATAAGTTTGCAGTTACATAGTACTGATTATGTTCTAATTTGACCACTTGAAAACTGTCAAAAATGATAATTCGGCACCTTTCATTTGCCATTTTTTCATGGTCACTTCTCTTCTTTATTTCGTATTTCTTTTTTTGTGCTCAATTAAAACGATTGGAATTGATTCCGTAATTCCGGTAACTTGTGAAGCCGCTTTAGATATTGTCCTTAAACCACTAGCCCTAATACCATTATTTTTCCTTGAGCGCTCTCGAGTTTATTGGTAGCATAACTTTCTTATCGCAGGCTACTGACGGAGCGGTAAATCGCACAGAGTATGATAAAAAAAGGACAAACGAATGAAACGATTACAACGATTGATCGTGCGAATCACAGCTTGTATACCTATATGTACACACATTATATATACTGCGTTCTTTTGCGGCTATATATAGTTGCACACCCGTTCCACTTACTATTTTTCGTTCCACATGCACTACGTGAAGTGGTAAACCCAGTCCCATGCGTGTGTCATTTATAACATAAATTTCGTTCGCAGTAGGAGTAATATACGCTTTCAGGATCAGTTCAAAATCTTTATATTGGGTTGTACCCCTTGACTACTTGGACCACCTCGACCACTGAACGAATTTCGAACAACCTTCCATTCAGTCGTTAGTGCCTGATTTATTTTATTTTACAACCTAGCCTGATTTGACAAAGAGCTTATGTGTAAATAATATTTTAATTTTTGGATAGATTTATGTCCTATGAAATGGGTAAGTTCCAGCTTAGTACGTAAAGGTCTTCATCTATGCTATAAATATGTTTGTTTTAGAGATTTGAAAGAATTTTCATATTTTCAGTCAGAACCATTTACCAGTGACTACGTGGGTAATGGTGAAAATGCCATATTTAGGTGAAATAACAAAAACCACCGGTAACAATTTTTAGAACTTTGTCAAAACAATAATAAAATGGGGAGAGACCGGCCCTGGCAAGGTACGGTTAAGTTGTATCGATATCGTACTCCTAGTTTTTAATAAAAACAAGTGGTTTTATTAAATAGTTTTTTAAAATTAAAGTGTTTATCTACTAGATATTACTACGTAAGTCATCTATACGTAATTATTATTTTATTATTGTGAAAAGAAAAAGTCAAATAATAAATATAAACTACCGTACAATCATTTTGTGAGGTTAGCTGCTATAAGTAGCTTATAGTAGCATGCGACTGGTTTATCACTTACCAGAGTCGGAGTAAGGCTTTGCCACCGCACCTCGAAATGACTTCACACAATGTAAACACATCTTCCGATCTAACCAGTCCAGTAAATCAACGATCGAATATCACAAACAGTTATGCTTCAGCCGCTTCACATTCTTTTCCGAGTAAGAACCAAGCAATTGTATTTAGTTGTATCGATAATGCTAAACTGCAGGATTATCTCATTCCTTTGGGTACAATCATCAACCCAAAAAATATTATTTTTTCATCTAGATTATCTCATAATAGAATCTGCATGTATTTGGCAAACAAGACCGTAGTAGATAACTTCATGACACAATATGGCTCTATAGAAGTACTCGGCGAAGTGGTAACAGCAAGAAGACTTGTCTCTCCAGCAGAAAGACTAGTCCTGTCTGGAGTCTGCCCGTCAATTCCTCATCAAGTATTAGTTGAAGAATTGCAGAATATCGGTTTAAAGCTTATTTCTCCAATAACATTTCTGAAAATTAGCTCGACCCTTCCCGAATATAGTCACATATTGAGCTTTCGGAGGCAAGTTTATATAAGCCCTATAACATCACCAATTCCAGATTCTATTCTAATAAATTTCGACCAAACACCTTACCGCATATTTTTGTCACAAGGTACACTCACCTGCTTTATTTGCAAAAATACAGGGCACATATCATCCCAATGCAAAAATAGTTCAATAACGGAATCAACTCATCAGTCAAACAATGAAGTACCAAATCAAACAGCGTCAACAAGTATACTACACAAGGTACCAAACACCCAGCAGTCATCAAGTTATCCATTATCAAATCCGAGCATATCACCTACACCTACAAATCTCCATGACGAAGAAATTACTAATACTCCTACTCATAGCAACACTTTTAATCAACCTCATTCAGCGGCAATACCGTTTTCACAAGCTTCGGAAGCAATATTTTCCAATGTATCAGCTCCTTTTCCATTAGATACAACTGCAGAAAATTCTAATAAAACTGATACATCATCACAATTTTTTGAAACAACCATTTCAACCAATCTTACAAATAAAACTTCAAGCTCGACTTCTGTCAGTACCAATGAATTTGCTCCAGTACTTCCAAATGTAATAAAGCCACAGCATCTACGTGAAAACTCTAATAGCAATTGCGAAAACGCAACTTCTTCCATAAAACGCAGTATTGGTGAGATCGACACGCCTCCCTCAGACTCAGCAATTTCATCAGAAAATCTGTTTGCAAAACCCAAACCCTCTAAACAAAAAAAACCGCGCTCATCTCAAGTTCCATCTACACGGGAAACTCTTGAAAATTTCATTGATAATCATACCCCACCATTCGTTTTAAATTTCCACCAATTGTCCTTATTGATTGATAATGTCCAAGGCTCCCCCGACACTATTAGCGTCGTTAAAGAATTCACAACTGATATGGCTGGTTTAATCCATCTTTTAAAAAGCAGCTATCAATATGCAAATGATAGATCTACAAAAAGCAAGTTTACAAAACTTCAAAAAAAACTAATCAACCATTTAGGGAAAGATATTTCTGACTTAGATAGTGACTCTTCTGTAGACAATTGTTCAGTATCATCTAACTCCGAATCTGTTAACAGCATTCAACTCAA